TGGCCTGCTGGGTGTGGTTAAGAAGAAACCAGTCTCTGCCTTGTCTGCACTGACTGTGGTGGGCTGGATGTTGGTGGGTATCTGACCACTAAAGGTAGGTTAGGATAAGGCACACATGTGCAAGGCTATCTCCTGACCAGGAGACCTCCAGGGACCCGTAGCATATCAGGTTTCCTCATCTGTCAGTGGCTATCCTTGAAGGCTTTAGAAAAATATCAACAGGATCCCGAGCATCCCAAACAGATTCTAAAAAGAAAAAAAAATTAAATTGGAGGTCAATCCTCACCAGATGAGATGACCAAAAGGGACAGCAGGGCCCTCAGGGTGCCACACAGCAATGGGTGCCTAAACCTCACACGGCCTGCCAGCCATCTGTGAGCACAGATGTGTCATCAGGACACTGCCACCCCCCAAGGATGAGTGTCTCCATGTCTTCGGAATGTGAGCAGCTTGTGCTTCAGCCCCACGGAGCGATTCTGTGTTCTCAGAGCGGAGTGCTCCACTTGCCTCCTCCTGGACAAGCAGGTGTGTGGGTTGACCATCTCTGGGTCACCTGGCTCAGCCACTCCATCCACACTCTTTCCTGAGGGTCCCAGCATGCTCGGTGCTCGGTGCTCGGTGGAAATCCTCAGAGTGAGTAGCAGGAAGCAAGAGAATGGCAGCTAATGCTAGTCACCCTACATTCTGGCCGGACTTGGTCCATTTAAAAGCAGTTTCAAGCTTTTAGTAGGGCTTTATGGAAGGAGAGAAGCCCAGGGCATTAGCCCTAAACTGTCTCTCAGAACTCAGCTGTTGTCTCACCAACATTTGTGAAAAAAGACCCAGTAATCCAGTCCTGGAAAGACAGGGGTCTATAACATGCATCTCACACACTAGGCCTCCAGAGAGTGGTACACTGAATATTTATTGTTGGACCACTCTGAACTCCAAAGGAACTTCCAGGACTTTTTTTTCCCTTCCCCAGTGATCTTGCAGCCTGTGTGCTGTGCCCCCCCCCCCAACTCATGTTTACATCTATGACATTTTCCCTTGCTAAGATTGTATTTCACAAGGTTGGGTTAGATGCATTTCCGTTCTGATAAAATATATTATAATATATTTCCATCCCAAATAAGCTGGTGCCTTTCTGAATTAATCCCCCCGATGCACGGTAATTATGAAGCCCCGAATCTGCACATTTTCTTTTGAGAACGTGTTCTGCTCCATTTTATGCTCTACAGTGCCGTGTCCCTGATAGCCCAATCTCTCCGTAAAACCAGACCCCTACTTTCTAAAGGGAGTGTTCTTCTTAAACTTCTAGAACTTGCCGCAGCTGTTCCGAGAATCTGAGCATGCCCAGCTAGAAAACTCCTTTCCCAGAGCCTAGGAATGAATGCTGCAGGAACAAGTGTGCTGGCCTTTTAGCCAAAGGGTTGGTGCTGGAGACCAGACATAGCAGTGGCCTCAGGGGACAAGAGGCTGGACTCAGGGCTGCTGTTCCTATGGGCCAGAGCTGGAAGCATGTTCCCAGTTCCTCCAGACCTTGCTTTTCTGTCCCACTCCTTTTAACCCCCTCTCCTCTCTCTTTCTCACCTCTCTCTATAACCCTCTCCATTTTCTTTTTCCCTTCCTTTCTCTTCCTCTCTGTGTTGTTCTGACTTGCCTTCTCTCCTTCCTCCTTTTCTTCTCCATTTCTCCTCTCATTTTTATCCACTTCTCTTTTTTCTTCTCCCTTTCCCTCCTTTCTCTCCTTCTGCCTCCTTCTCTCCTCATGCTCTTGCCTGATCCCTGTGTACCCAGAGATCATCACTGCCTGTTCTCAGACAGTACAGTCTCTCTCTCTATTCCACACTCAGAACCCTGTACAAAAAATAGAGGAATTTTCTATTCTGAGCCACTTTCTTCTGTTTGGAGAAGTCAGTCCAGCATTGTGCTGTGTTAAGTACCAAGATTTGTTTTTTTTAAGGCAGGGGGACTTGAGTGACGTCACTTGACTCTATTTTGCAACATTTGCTAGACTAAAACAAGTACTCTCATATATCTGAATTTTTTAAAAAGATCCTAATTATTTATTTATTTTGGTATAGGTTTCAAAATTTGCCCTTGTGTTTTCTAATAATCAATGAGTAAGACATTGGGGGTAGAAAATGTATTGTAAAAAAAAAACAATTTTTTAGACCTATGTGCACTCATTAAAAGACTAGCCTTAACATAGGCCAGGAAGTGAGTTTCTAGAGCTATGGTTTTCAGAGTGTGGTCCCTGGACAACATCGTCAGCATCAGAGCTTATTAGAAATAAATGCCAGTTCTTGATCTCTGCCTGGACCCACTGAACCCCAGCAGCCCCTCATTAACAACCCTTCCAGGCCATTCTGACGTTCCACAGGGTCTGAGAGCCACTGCTTGGAGGGAAGACCACCGCCCTGCCTGTGTCTGCAGTGTGAGATGAAAAAGCTTCTTTGGGCAGTTCTGGGAAATGCCTGGGTGTGAGCCAGACCCCTCAAACCTGTGACCTAAGGATGATGTGTAAATCAGATAAAGATCTCCATGCTATACTTAGCATCTGGAATGGCCCCTAGAGCCTCATGGCTGTCTTTGGTATTTGTAGAGGTGTAGAGCCGTTAGACAGTGGGGCTTAAGTGGGAGGTCCTCAGACCATTTAGGGGGCTTAACTAGGCAGGTTGTGGGGCTGCATTTTTTCCTTTCTTTCTAATTCCCCAGATCTGGGGGAATAGCTTGCTCTACCACACACCTCCATCGTTGACGGCCTAAAAATCCACCTGCTCACCCTTTGCTCTTTGTGAGCTGCTCATCTGGGTATTTGCTGCGCCAACGGAAACTCACTGCCCCCACCTCACGGGCAAAGAGAAAGGATTAACTAGGTACCGTTGGGGCTTAGACTAAGATAGCCACCGCCCAGCCCTGGCATGAGCTCCTTCACCTGTTACCTTCCTTCTTACTTCACACAGTTCTAACTGAAAACAAGACACAGAAAAGGCCAGTCATTCTTCCGCAAAATAGTCGCCTATCCTTCCACATATCATTTTGTTCTGTGGGTGAGCAGAGGTTCTGAAGACCAGAAATATACTCGATGAAATGTGTGGGTTAGTAAGCTCAGTGGCACAGCAAGCGCTTAGCATATGGGTTCGGTCCCCAAAGTCTACAAATAGTTGAGGGATTCAGAGACGCCCCCCCCTGCCCCGTCCCTGCATTGAGTTACTGATTTATTTTTACTTTTTAAAGTACTGTAGCACTTATTTCAGAATGTCTTACCAATATTCCAGAAACATTTAAACCACAGAACTACACATTTCTTAGTAGTTGAAAAAAAAAAAAAGGTAGAATAGAAATGACTACTAACAGGTTTGTGTGCTTGTGTCTTGGAGGGAGGAGCAGTCAAGAAGGAAGCAATTGTTGCCCAGAAAGAAACAGTGACCTCAGCTCAGAAGTCCAGAACCTTAAAGGTGTCAAGATCTTAGCAGACATTAAATAAGGTCAGGAGGGCTAGGGAATTCCATTAGCTTTCAGGATGAAATCGTAAGTGGAAATAATAAAACAGAGAAACCTCGAAATGTTCCATAAGAGCGGAAAGCATAATTCCAGACCTGCCCTGATTAGCACCAGGGCGGTGTTTTTGTCATCCTTAGCGCGGGTTTTTGAGCCCAGATCCCCATGCACCTGTCTCCTGCTCCACCAGGGGGCGCGCTGGTCCTCCGGATGCGGTTGGCCAGAGCAGCCTGGAGTTTGAGGTCCCGTCATTCTCTGTATAAACAAGTTACGTTCAAGTGTTTAGGATATAAATTACGACCATGCCGACTGCCTTGGAAGGAATGTAAACACAGCACTGTGGTCGGAGCAAACTCTGAGACTGACTTCATAATTTATAGCAGGCCCCCCGAGTAACTCAGAATAAAAGACAAAAAAGAATGGGGGGGGGGGAAGAAGACTCTATTTAAAAGTAAATATGATAATGCAGAAGCAAAAGTGTTTAAGTCGGTGTTTAATTTTTTTTTTTTTAATACAAGAAAGAGGACTAAGGGTTAGGAATATAGCTAAGAGTTCTGAAACTCTATGTTTTATTCAGGAGAACACCTCGGAGTCAAGATTCGTTGAAACAGGGGGAAATAGAGTTACCAGTACACCAGTTACCTAGTGGTGGACTGGAAGGAAGGAGCGTTCCCTACTCAAGAGGCAAAACCAAAAAAAAGCGAGAATCCAGCCCTGAGTTGAAGAGAAAATTACCACAACACGATTAAGAGTGAACACTGCTGTGCTCCTAACCGAAGGGGGAATAATTCCGTGGGGAATAACTCCTTCTGCCTCACTGGGCTATTTTCTCATTTTAATGTCCTTCCAGTTCTGCGGGCAGCGTTCAGGATTGGGAAACCTGGCAAGAGAAGCAGCAGAGGCTGTGCAAGCTTGTGGGAGCCCCGGAGGAGGGGGTGCCGGTTTAAATCCTGCTGAGGGCCTATAGGCCCCTTTGGTCTGACCACCACCCGGTGCAAACAGCAGCCTGGATGCCATGCTGGAGGCTGTGGATGGGCACCGCTCTGCCCTCGCACCTCCCACCTGGTGGGAAAGAGGAAGGAGCAAAAGGGCAGAACTCTCGGGCACAGGAAAGGAAACAAAGGAGGCCCACCACTTGGCTTCCTCAGATCAAACCCATGGCTTTTGTTATGATTTTATTTATTTTTAGTGTTTTGTTTTTAAGTTCCTTTCACCTTCTGTTTTTTTGTTTGTTTGTTTGGCTGGAGAAAGTGAGAGTGAAGTAGAGAGAGAAGTATCAGAAATGTCCTCTCGCCGCCAACGAGAAGACCCGCCATCAGGACTGGACTGGCTTATTCAAAACAGAGACTTCACCTCACGTCAGTTGCAACTTGGGGGTGGGCAGTGCAGAGCCGCAGTGTTTGCCTGGAGGGCGTGGCCATGACAGGGTGACTGCAGAGGAAAGGGTCCCTAAAACGGCTATTTCTTATACAAATTTTATTGAAAAAAAAAAAAAAAAAAACAACAAACTTACATCAAAATATTCTGGCAAACTGTAAAAGTATACATAAGTGCAAATATACCCTCCTTTTAAAATACAAGCGAAGTGTGAGTATACGAAGATCATAAAAATACTTTAAAAAATACGGTGGTAGAAAAACAACCTTGTAAAATGTTGTATTGTCACAATACTGAGAGCCACCTTCTTCATTCCTTCACAATGTTCTTTGGCACCTGTATCTGAAGGGAGTGGTGGGGGTGGGGTGGGGGAAAAAAATCTCCTACTGGGCCAGGCAACTAGACAAGGCTTTCTTCAACTGCTGTACTTTTAGCACTGCCTGTTTTTGAAAAGCACACACCAAGAAACACACACACTCACTCACACACACAACTCCCTTTTCAGACCCCATCAGTTAAGGCGATGGCCACCCTAGCACTGAAAGGTTTATGTAGTACAATGTTTCACTGTCAACCTCCTCTGTCCCACTCCTCGGCTATTGCCTTGCCAACGGTTCCCTCTTCCACTGGTGGGCGAACATCGGAGGGCAGGGGGCTCCCCCTGGGCATTCGTCTAAGTGATGGGCGCGTTCTACTTACTGCTACCCGTGTGTGCACAGTACAGTGAGTCCTGTCGCAGGTCCCAGTGGCCCCCTCTCGGAGGGGAGAGGAGGAGAGGGCGGAAGAGGGAGAGCAGCCTTCAAGGCCTCCGTCCATTCACATAACACAGGGCTTAATATCTTGGCACACGGTCTGGTGGTGGTGGTGATAGTAAGAGCCGCTAGCGGAGGGGTGGAAAGAAGAAATGCCGTTGAAATTGAGGACGAAATCTTTCCTGTCGCACACCGGAGTGGAGTGGTGCTGGTAACGGGGCAGTCCTACTGAAAGAAGAAAGAAGAGGAAGAAATCTTTCAGTTAAAACCGCCCGGCTGCCGGTGGGATAGACTCCTTCGAAAATTTCCATTTAATTTGTGTCATTCTGACTGAGGATGCAAAAGCAGCTAGTGGCCTTTGGGTGTCTGGCTATCAAGCCGGTAGTAAGGGGGGGGGGGACCTCTCAGGGCATCCAGAAGTTCCAAGATGGCCCTCCTTGAGAGGTGATTTGTTCAAGAATTCCCACTACCCCCTCTCTTCATCCCCAAGGCGATCCAGGCTACACAAGCACCCCGCCACCTCTGCCGCCTTCACCTCTGTTCTGTACCTTGCTTTCTTGTCACAAAAATCTAGAATCAATGGACTATCTAAGCCCTTCGTCCGCGGAGGATGACGGGCCTGGGAAGGGAAGAGGGGGAGAGAAGAGGGAAGTCCCCTTCCCACCTGCAGGGTGGCAGGCGTCTCCTTAGGTCCCAAACCCTTCGGCTTTCCCTTGGCCGGCACCAGCCAAGTTCAGGGTCTCTGGCCTGGGCATCTAGCAGCGAGTTAGGGTACTAGTGGAGCCTGTGCCCGGCTGCCCAGGCCCTGAGCCGGTCTCTCTTGATGCCAACCTGCCGCCCACTTTTGCTTTTGTTTTCTCAGCCCCAGGACGCAGAGGGCTAAGCGCACATCCCCGCCACCGCCTGGGCAGGCATTTTCACGAGGCCTATCCTCACGCACCTGGTCAGTGTGGTCTGCACAAGCCGGACGCCCGTGTCCCCCCCAAGTGCGGTTGGTTGCAAGCTGGAGAAAAGCGTACGTGCCACCCAAAGAGAGACCAGGCCGCTCAGCGGCGGCTGTGACTCAGCCTCGGAGGCTACGGGGTACCGCTCTGCGAGATTCGGCTCCGGAGAATCGGCCCAGGTACGCGCGCGGGGGGCGGGGGGGGGTGCACGACCCGCCGGGTCCTGCGCCGCCACCGCTGCCACCGGAGAGGACCTGAGCTGGCTCGCGCCTCCACCCCAGGCCTCCGCCTAGCACGGCTGGCGAGGCCCCGCAGGGCTTCGGATGAACGTTCACGACTCCCGGCCCCGGCGGGTCCCGTTGCCACCGCCTCCCTGGGGATGCCGCCTCCGATGCCCCGTTAGGAAGCGTAGGGCGCGGGGCGTTTGCGGGTGCGCGGCGAGGGGAGGGTTCTGCTGGGTGCGTGGCAGTGTGCGTGTACTGGGGGGCTTTCTTCAGCTGTCCCCGAGCGGCGACCTCGGCCGTGTCTGGCCTCCAGGGACCTCCAGCCTCAGTGGGCCGCAGTCCTGTGGGTGACACCCAGAATCAGGCCCTGCGGGGTCCCCAGGTACAATTCGGGGCTCTTTGGAAAGCCACTGGATAAGTGACAAAATCGGAATATTCTAGAAAGAGAGGAGGGCGGATGCCCAGGAAAAATTGGCAACAGCGCCAGGTCCACCCAAGCCACCGTTTGCGGGGAAGGCTGGGTCAAGGCAGGCGTGGGGACAGGCGATCCCCTGCCTGCCTTCGTGACTGGACAGTTCTCTTTCTATCCAAGTTAGAGGGTTAAGCCGCCACATCCGGGGAGTTCTGGAGGTTTTGTGTGAGGCCTAGGGTCTGTTCAGTGGGACGTGGACCTGACAGAAAGGTCAGAAATGTCTCTCCTGCGCGCCTGCTTGTTTGTTTCTTCCCAGAGTATAGTTTTCTGACAGCTGGGAAGCTTGGGAGACCGGGTTCAAGGTAAGCTAGGTCTACCCAAAGGGAAGGGCAGCGAGGATAAGGGCCAGAGCAGTAGGCCTAGCCAGTGGGGGAGGGAGGCTTAGGTTCCAGTTCAGCGTGCAGAGGAGAGACTGACAGCTCGTCCGCAGGGCAGGAGGTGGGGGTGGGGAATAAGAGAGAGGGTCATCTGTATTGGTTACTTGTTGAAATTCCCATAAAATTGAACAAGACTCTGTTCTCTGAGGGTTAAGTCAGCCTAAAATCCTCTCCCGTGTGGTCCTGCCTAGACTGTCTTTGTTTGGTTAACCCCGGAGACCCCCAGTTAAAAGGCTTATTTGGGAAATTTCTCCAAGATCTTTCGCTGTTTCTTGGCTCCTCCATTCCGCCAAGCTCCCGTTGCACACGTAGCCACACGCTTACACCACCCTGCGCATTTTCTGATTGGGGCTGGAAGTAAGCGTGTGGGAGACGGCACCCCTGGGCTTCCTTCGCCCTTGACAGACAGGCTCCCAGATTTCAACCTGCGCCCCGTGGGGGCCTCGGGGGAATTAATCAGGGTTTATCTCTATCCTCTAGATAAAGCTGGCCAAACACAAAATTCTCTCCTCCACTTCCTGCTCTCCTCCTACCCTTCACCACTTTTCACAAGTCAATAAATTTTCATACTCTGCAACCCACACAATATAAACCAGCCACAGTAAAAAAAAAAAAAAAAAAAAAAAAAAAAAAAAAAAAAAAAAAAAAAAAAAAGAGTGGCCTCTAGGCACGCTTCTTAGAGGAATTATCACACTAGGCACCCACATCTTGATGTCCAGGACGAACTGGTGCCATTAACTAGATCTACAGCGCATGTGTGCCTGTGAGCATTCAAAGATTCGTCAACATTTTGGTGCCTCTTGTCGCCAGCAAAGTCCTTGGGACTCAGCTCTGCTTCTCTCTCTCTCTCTCTCTCTCTCTCTCTCTCTCTCTCTCTCCTTCTCGGCTAACTCCTTTCACTGTTTGCCCAGGTAAGAACTCTCCCTCACTTGCTCTTGACACAGAACCCCTTCCTTTCTGTCATCTACAAACCAGGGCAAAACGAACTTTGCAGAGAATAGGGGGAACAAAATGAACCAGACCCAATTCCTCGACCAAGGTCTCCAAAGGTCACATGCCTTCTTTCCGGAGCCGAGTCTGGCCTAATTGGGAGAAAGTCCACAGTGTCCTAAAGCAGGCCAAGGAGGTTAGGACTTGGCAGCATTCTTCTCCAGCCTGGGAATTCTGGGGCCCACCAACCGGCCCAGAGTATCAGAGAACACTGTAAAATCAAATCCTGGCCCTCCACCCCCGGATTAGAGTGCCAATTTCCCCAGCACCCCCCCACACACACACCCCAGCGTTGGGGACCTAAGGTGTAGTCGCCCTGGCCCTCAGAGGCTCCGCTTGCAGCGGGCCTGGGTCCTCATGGTTACCTGAGAGATCCTCTCGGGCGTTCTGGTGTAAGTAGCTCTGCTCCAGCGAGTAGGAAGACATGCTGGGGTGCAGGCCCGCAGAGGCCGCGGGGTTGCTGCTCGGCGTCAGGGCGGGCGGCTGCTTGAGGTAAGGTGAGGCGCCGGGCGAGCTCCAATGCGCCGCGGGGCTGGTATAGGGCGAGTGACACTCGATGGCGCTCGCCATGGCCGGGGAGGAGGGCACTGGGCTGCTGCTGCTGTCCGGCCCATAGTCGCCGCCGCCGCCTCCTCCACCCGCAGCCGCCCCGACACCCGCGGGACCTGCGGGCACCGGGCAGCTGGCCATATAGGTGGAGCCCGGGTTGGGCGACATGTGGGGGACGTGGTGATGGTGGAGGTGGTGCGGGTGCCCGTGGCCCGGAGCGCCGGCCCCAGCATCGTAGCCCGCGGGCATCATGTCGAGGCTACCGTAGCCTCCCTGGCCGTGGCACCCCAGAGGAGCCGACGGGGGCGCTTGGAAGTCGAAGCCCTGGGGCAGCAGCGAGGCCCCGAAGCCCAAGCCGCTCACCACCCGGTGGTACATGGGCTTGAGCGCCTGGCACTTCCTCCTGAAGCCGCGAGGCCGCCGGCGGAACGAGCCCTCCTCGAACATGAACTCGCTGGCCGGGTCGATGGTCCAGTAATGGCCCTTGCCGGGTCGCCCGAGGCCCTTGGGCAGCTTGATGAAGCACTCGTTGAGCGAGAGGTTGTGGCGCACCGAGTTCTTCCAGCCCTGGTAGGCGCCGCGGAAGAAGGGGAAGCGCGCCTGCAGGAACTGGTAGATCTCGCTGAGCGTCAGGCGCTTGCTGGGCGAGCTCTGGATGGCCATGACGATGAGCGCGATGTACGAGTAGGGCGGCTTCTCGGGCCGCCGCAGCCCCGACGTGGCCTTCTTGGTGGCCCCGCTCCCGCCGCCGCCCGCGCCCCCGCCGCCTCCTCCGCCCGCCGCCGCCGAGCTCTTGCAGGCGCCCGACGAGGCGCCGACCGAGTTGGAAGAGGACGAGGCGCAGGAGGCGGACGACGACGACGACGACGAAGACGACGACGAGGACGAGGTGGTGGAGTCCAGGGTGGCGGCGGCCGGGGGGCTCATCAGGGCGGCCTGGAGCGCGCCGGGCGGCGGGCGCGGCGGGGGTGGCGGGGGCCCGCCCTCGGTGCTCATCTGGGCACCGGGAGCGAGGCCGGGCCTCGGGGGCGGACCCCGGAGCGGGAGTGGCGGCGCCGGAGCCGGGTCGGCCCACGAGCCGGGGCCACTCCGGGCCAGCGCTTCGGCGGCGGCGGCGGCGGCGGTGTCGCCTCCTTCAGCTCCTCCGGGTCTTCGGGCGGCGGCGGCGGCGGCGGCTCGGAAGCGACGCCCCGCGCATCCCTCTTCCGAGCCTCCGGGCCCGCGCCTTCCTGGCGCAACCGCCTCCTAAAGCCGCCGAGGCGAAGAGCGAGGCGGCCCCGGAGCCCCCGACGGCTGCGCCCTGCAACCGGGACCTCTCCCCGGACCCCCGGGACTAGCCTCGTCGTCTTCTTTCGGGAGTGCTCGTCTCTCTCTTTCTCTGTCTCTTGGACTTCCTCCCTGGCGCGCCCTCCCTGCGGCCGCCTCGCTCCCTCCCTCCCTCCCTCCCTCCACCCCACCCCGCCCTGCCCCCTCCTCGCTCTGCGCCCGCCCGCCGGCCCGCCGCGGGGAGGGCGCGCTGGGTCCGCGTCACTCCTCCCCCTCTGGACCTGGCGGCGGGCTCCCGCTCTTATCGCCTCCGAGCCTCTCCGGGGTCCTCCTCGCGCTGTTACGTCTCTCCGGGCTCTTTCCCTTTCCCCCGGCTGCCCTCCCCCGAGCCGGGGCTACGGATCCCCTGGCCCTCTGCTGGGAGCACAACTCCCAGCCTTGGCAAGACTCGACTACCCGGGACTTAATTCATTCTCCGTCCCTTCGAGCACCCGGGTCCCTATCCCAGGAGCCCCCCCCCCCCCCCCCCCCCCCCCCTTCCCAGGGGGGGCCCCCCCCGCCCCCCCCCCCCGCCGGGTCCTGTTGGGGCTGAGTCTTGGGGCGGTGGCGGTGCCCTGGAAGGACCTCCTTAGCCACCGTCCCCACTGCCCGAACTGACACCATCTGTCAACTCCATTTAGACAGTGCTGCACTCGGCCACACGCCGGGTGCCAGACATCCCAAGGTAACGTGCCAATCCTGGGTCTCTCTATCTCTGGACCTGCAGGGCCTCTGAGAGCTCACAGCAGAGGGCAGGGTGCCCTGGGCGCCCTTGAGCTGTGGGCCCGAGGCAGTTAGGAACATTTTTGAAGCTGAGCACTGGGGTTGGGGTGGAGAAGCCTGGGCCGACTTTTAGAAAGACTCGGGACTCTTGATGGATTAGTCTTCATCGGCTTCCACCTTCCACTGACTCGTTTCCACTTCATGCTGAGAGAGAGAGAGAGAGAGAGAGAGAGAGAGAGAGAGACCCTGAGGTGAGGAGATAGGTGTGTTTAGCGTCAGCACCGAAGGTCCGCGCGGCTGCCAGTGGGTTCAGGGCGTCAGCCTTCCGTGCCCCCAGCCCCCCATGCGCCGGCGGAGCACACTTCTCCGGTTGTGCCTTTATTCCCCTCGGTAAGAGGCAGCTCACAGAGAGATGGCCCTCGGGAGAAATCATTCCAATGAGACCCGACAGTTAGTTATTGGATTACACGTGCGGGGAAATGTAGTCTGACCCCGGACAGGGGCTGCAGAGAGAGAGAGAGAGAGAGAGAGAGAGAGAGCGCTGCAGGCTGAAGCAGGCCTGGCCACACAAGGGCTGGTGGCCAGGCCCAGAGGGGAAGGAGATGCCCACCCGGGGAACAAATGGGAGGCGTAGCCGTGTATATTTCTGCACCATCCCCAAGAGGACCGGGTTTGGCATGTGTGTGCTGGAGAACCTGGGAAGGTGTCAGGGTGAGGACAGCGCAGAGACCCCGGGAAAGAGCCTTAGGGAGCTCTGGCTTGCCCGGCTCGTGGGTTCTGGCTCCTTGCGGGTGGGAGGGTGGGCTTCTCCATCTCTCAGTGCCCTGGTGCCTGGAGACCGCCTCTGATGGAGAATGCCGGTGGGTCTGCGGAGCAGAGGAAAGGGCGGGTGCGGGGGGAGGGGGCTGGCCCCAGACAGTGACCTGAAGTTGAGTGGAAGCAGGCTTTTTCCATCAAACCCTGCCGGGATACCACACACAGAGCCCGAGTGTCAGTTTACTGCCCTGAGCCCGGCTCCTTTTCCCTAAGCTCCACAGTAATTAGACAAAGAAAACCTAAATTAGCTGAACAGGCGTCGACAGCTTCCTCCAGAGCACCCCTGGTACCTACGTGGGAATTGTCCGAAAATGGCCCGATTGTAGCCCAGAGTCAGCTAAGAAAACACCGCGGAGCAGAACTGAGTGGACCGCTCATTTGCAAGAGAAAAAAGAAACAAGTCGATCTTTTCCGGAAGGGATGTTTTGATTGGGTTGGGGGTCGAAGTTGTTTCGACTTCCTAAGAATTTCTTTTTTGGCTAGTTAACATTTGGGGGGAGGCGAGTCCCCATTTATTTCACGCTGATTCCCCCTTCCATCCTCCTTTGTCGTTTTGCCTGGACTGATTTTTGATGAGACTCAATATGGAAGTTAACACGTGCTCAATAAACCGAAGTTCTAAGTGTCTGAAAGGAATCGCTCCAGATGAAGTAGAAATTGGGTGGAGGGTGGTAACGGCCCAAAGGAGCTCCGCGGGCAGACTTCAGTGTTGATAAATGTGTTTTTGTGCGTGTGTGAAAGTGGGGAAGGCATTGGTTCAGGAGAAAGAGCGAGGAGAAGGATGGTCGTCTTGCAGGCAGGCAAGGCGTTTGGGAAATTGTGTATAGAGTCAGTATTGTGGTCATTCAGCTATGCACCTGTCCAGCTCCCTTCACGTGGGGGATTCTATGAACCCCCCCCCCAGGGTACTTGCTTTTAAAACTGGCCTAAACACGTTTGCAGTCTGAAGTCTGAAGGCACAGAACCTTTTCTATCAAGGCAAAGTTTAATGATCTTCCTTAGCTCTCAGTTTGGGAGCCACGGGGCATCCTGTTAAAATGGATACCTGAAATTTTAGGAGAGTTACAAATACTCATTTAAAAAAAAAATCTTGATGTATTTCTTAGTTTCTGCTGATTCAGCTGGTTAACTTATAAAAGATTAAAAAAAAGATTTTTATCATGCAGGTATCAATCATATGCTCCCATGATTCTCTAAATCTGTATGAATTTGCTCTTGTAGTCTGCAGCATGTCCCAGACAGTGAGCAGTGCCCTCCCAGGGCAGGGAGAAGGTCTGTAAACCTGAAGCCTGCTTTTTTTTTTTTCCTAGGGATCTGTGTACTATGCCTTCCCAACGCTGGAACTTGGTAGGTAAGCTGTCGGGCAGGAAGAGAGCTTCTCCAAGACTTGTTCTTGGTGGTTGCATACCTGAGAGTTCTTTGAGGCTGACCAGGGCCAAGTGATCTAGCCTAGGAGATGGAAGGGGTTTGGGACTCCAAATTCAGTGCTCTTTTCACTTTCTTGCAGCTAAACTTCTGTGTTTCAGCCATGGATGTGTCCAGATTTATTGGGCAAGAGCACAGTGGATAACAAATTAGGTCAAATTCTTTCTCCCTGCAAGAGTATTCGTTTCTGGTGGGCCGGCAGCATTTGCTTTACTTCTTTCTTTACCTTTGCTGTGTTGGAGATTGAAGCAAACCACGGGGACTCTACCTGTGTCCCAGCCCCAGCCCAGCTGCAGAGTGAAAATGGAAGTCTCTCATTGCTGATGCTGCTTTGTTTAGATTGGTCCCATTCCCTAGGAGATCCCTTCTGGTGTGAGCCTTTCCCCACTACTTTTTATTTTCTATAAACAACAAAAATCTTGGTTTCTTTAAAAATGGAGGAGTACAGCTATGATTCATTAAACAATTCTAGATCAGCCCGCAGGCTTCTTCATTAACAACAACAACCGACCAAACAAACAAACATACAGTTCAGAGCGGTCCTCACTCCATCCCTATTGGATTGGTCAACAGTCTCCGTATGGGCTTCGGATTCCCTTCCCCGTTCCAAGCCCATTAGGGTCCCCCCCACCCCCGCCCCAGAGCAAGGGAATGTAACCGTATCATAAATTGGGATTTCTCTGACTTTTGTTCTGCAGTTGACATTTTATTCTAGGAAATCTCTTCATTGTTGCGGTTTAAATCTTTTCTTAGCATGCTTCCTTTGTTTCGTGGGTTTTACATGAATTGGCTCAGACTAAACCAGGAGAGCTGGAGAGACCCATCAACACTAGCCACCTTCAAGGGCAAGAGCGGGCATGCTCCACACCTTCCTTTCTTCAGCCTGAACCTAATGGGGGGGAAAGCCTTTTGCAGCTCAGTGGGAAGATGCCCACCCATTCCCACCGTGTGTTCAGGGACTAAGTCACCATGGGCAGAAGAATCTTGAGCGTCCCTGTTGCCTTTCTAATTGCTCCTGGCACTGGGGTCCAGGTTTGCTTATGTAGTAGAGCCTGTAACCGCTGCAGAGGCCTCTAAAAACACTGAGCCTTTTGGTGTTAGTCTTTGCTCCAAAAACAGGAATTGGAGAGAGGGACTTAACCAGGAAGGTATAGTTAATAATTTCACACCTCCTCTGGAGTCTGCTCTCTTTCCTTGGTCTAGAACCCTTAGACTCCTTGGTATGAAAGTACAGGGTTTTTTTTGGTTTGTTGTAATTTACATTCATCCCTCAGCGTTCCAAGCGCCTGTGTTCAGGGCAGGGCTCTTAAGCCACCTTCCTAAAAGGTCAGCTCACAGCTCCACAGCTCCTGGGCCTGACTGTGACCATGACTCCGTGGTTCAGTTAGCCAGGTCAGAGGTGCTTGGAGAGGGAAGAGAAAGGGCTAATCTACAAGTCCTCACCCCCTGCCCCATGCAAAAACTAGGCCTCTTTGTATCCCTTTCTAGATGGCCAGACTGTGGGTTCCAGGAGCTAGTCCCACAATGCCCACTCCTGCCCCACCCCTCCAGGCAGGATGTGGCAGGAACAAATGCCCTTTAGGTTTCTACGGCCCCGCTGTGCGTAGGGGTGGAGGTGCCAGGGGGCACAGGCCAGGTGAGTCCCCCAAGGAAGACTCTGGGAGTTGGAGAAGCTGGGAGGCCTGCACGTCATACCCAGGAAAGCCAGCGTGGGTGCAAATGCCCGT